CACACACACACACACACGCACACACACACACACACACACGCACACACACACATACACACACACACACACCACACACACACACACACACACACACACACCACACACACACACACCACACACCACACACACACACACACACACACACACACACACACACACACACACACACACACACACACACACACACACACACACACACACACACGCATGCGCACGCGCACACACACACACACACACACACACACACACACACACACACACACACACACACACACACACACACACACACACACACACACACACGCATGCGCACGCGCGCACTTCCGGCCCAACGACTTGCCCTGGCTGGACACGCGATCGATATCCTCCGGCTCGAGCACCCGACGTCCTGGATCAAGGGCGACGCGGGCAGCGCCGCCAGCGGGGGGCTGCAGAAAGGACTTCAGGGCGCCCGATTGCAGCTAATGGCGATGACCTGCATGGCAAAATCGCCCGCAACAACGTCAGCGGGCCCAGGGCTTCCCGAGGCCATGCCAGCAGGGACGACATCCGACTGGGCTCCGCTGCAAGTGCCTCGAGAGGTCTGGGGCGCGCGGACCCCTCAGGGCTGAGCGGGCCAATCTATGATGTATCAGAGGACTTGGGGGCCCACTGAGCATTCACGAAATGCTGGAACCTAGAGATGCCAGAAGCTACGGCGCGCGAACCGATCGAGGAGACCCTCGATGTGAAAAGACATGTAGACTTGAACGAACTGCTGCGACGCCTCTACCGCGCCATCCTTGAAGCCGAAAAAAATGCCCCCCCTCCCTCGTCGAGCCGAGCAACCGAAGGAGGGGGGTCGGACCTGGAGACATAGCTACGTCGCTCTGGCGCACATCTGGCTCGACTTGAACAGCTGGTGCAGCTGGTACTGAACCAGAAGCCAGGGAGGGCCCGCGAAAATGAGGAGGAGGAGGAGGCGGAGGAGGAGGTTGAGCAGGAGGAGGAGGCGGAGGACGAGGAGGAGGAGGTGGAGGAGGAGGAGGAGGGGTGGTGGCCGTACCATCGTTCTCGCCTCCACCAGCCGAACTCCACGATCTTGACGCCTGCGTCTCCCTGCCAATACTGCGACATGTGTGTGATGATCACATGTTGATCTTCTGCGCTTGCTCCACCACGCCAGCAAACTGGTTCCCCACCAATTCTTTGATACCGTTCGCCGGCGTAGAGGTTCCACTCTCGAATTCAGCCTTGCCCTGTGGCGACACCTCAACTTCGTTTTCGTCCAGACCCTCGAATGCGTCCAACGTGATCTTCTCCGTGAGGTTGCACTTGTCTTGCAGCAGATCTGCCAGCCACACCGAAGGACCTGCCGCCGACGCGCTATGCTCACCCATGTCGGGCTTGGTAGCCTCTTTGAGTTTTCGAATCACGCTCGTGTACTCTACGTCTGCGTGTTGCAATGCCTTGCGGGTCTCCTGCGCCTTCTCGACCTGAGACTGTACGCCTTCAAACACGACTCGGACAATTGAAGAATTTCTTCGTTGGAAATGTCTGATAGCTGGGACCAACTCACTCGGAACAGATGCCCACTGCCTCCCGACTGTCCACGCGGATCTGGCCGCCCTTTTCGAAGCCCTTGCCGTAGCCCTTGACGTTTGTTTTACACGAAGCCACGTCCTCTTGTTGAATATTACAGACGTTGAGCACCAGCTTGCAAAATCATGACTAAACTGCACGGACGACGCCGACAACAAGGTCCCGGAAGGAGAACCACCACCTGACGATGAGCTGCTCCTCGACCAAGTTCGAAAGGCTGCTGGAGCACGAAAGATAGTGGGGCATGACACTGCTTGCACCACCTATAATGCACGATATTCTTTCGGCATCGACACTCCGAACATGGCAAGGAAGCGAACTTGCCTCCCCGACCTGCTCCATTCGTCGATCACTCGAACTCACTACCGCCTGCGCCCCCTTCTGTACCCACGTCGGACTGAGCCAACGGCTGACAAGAAAAATGGCGATCAAGAGGAGCCATAGCTGATTTGAACGGCTGTGGCAACGAAGGTACGTTACCGAGGACGTTGTGAATACATGTGCCTGAACAGATCCATGAGAACGGTCGAGTCGCGAACTCCCCTCGCCAACATCGCAGGCCCTTGAACAGCACTTCCGGACTTGAGCCAGAAGGGTCACAGAGTTCCTCCTCCTCCTCCTCCTCTTCCTGCTCCTCCTCCTCCTGTCCTCCTCCCTTCTCCCCTCCTCCTCCTCCTCCTCCGCCTCCTCCTCCTCCTCCTCCATCTCTCCCTCCTCCTCCTCCTCCTCCTCGTCTTCCTCCTCCTCGTCCTCCTCCTCCTCCACACCTCCTCCCCCTCCCAACAGGCAAGCAGCGGGGGCGGCAAGGGGAGCTGACCGCGGGCCAATGGGAGGCGCCCCGCCGGATTTCCACTCGCCAGAGCGCAGCCACTCGCCTGGCTCATGGCGGCACTGGCGTTCACTCCTCCTCCTCCTTCGCCTCCTCCTCCTCCTTCGCCTCCTCCTCCTCCTTCGCCTCCTCCTCCTCCCCCGCCGTCCTCAGCCGTCCTCCGCCGTCCTCCGCCTCCTCCTCCTCGTCCTCGTCCTCCTCCTTCTCCTTCTCCTTCTCCTCTCCTCCTCCTCCTCCTCCTCCTCCTCCTCCTCCTCCTCCGCCTCCGCCTCCCCTCCCGTCCTCCTCCCCAGATGCCTCTTACCATCAGAATCGTCATCATCGTCAGCATCAACAACAAAAACAACAACAACAGCAACAACACCAACAACAACACCAACAACATCACCACCACCACCACCAACAACAACAGCCACATCAGCAACAACAGCAACCACAGCAACAGCGACAACCACAGCAACAGCAGCAGCAGCAACAACACCAACAACAACATCAATATGTTTAAGCCTGTTCGCCATTACGGGCACGCATGTCTTGCATTCTGTGTACACCAAACCTCGATACCCGCTCACATCGTCTTCGATTGCACCCCCTCTCGGGGGGGATCTCTTCCTTGTCGGCCACGGGCTGTGGTGCGAGGAACTCGCGAGCGAGAGCGCCGTTCCTGAGTTCGGGGGCCTCTCTGGCAAGGGGTTCTCGGAATACAAATGGAGAAATATCGAACGGGAACCCTTGTCGCCGTGTCTGGGCCTCCACCAACTTGCCTGAACGACGGGAAAATCCCGCGCGAGAGCGCCCCTCTTGAGCTCGGGTCTCTGGCAGGGGACCTTGCGACCACATCTTGAGGAAGTATCGACCGGAGAGCCCCTGTCGTCGCAATTGGGCCTCCGCGAAGTCGGCGGACTCGCGAGAAGGTCTCGGGCGGGAGCGCCGCTCCTGAGTATTGGGGGCCTTCCTGGCCAGGGGCTCTCAGAGTAAGTCGTGAGGAGGAATCGAGCAGGAGCCCTTGTCGTCGTGGCTGGGCCTCCGCCATCTTCATTGAATTGCGAGGAAGTCTCGAGCGAGAGCGCCGTTCCTGAGTGTGGGGGCCTTCCTGGCCAGGGGCTCTCGGAGTAAATCGTGAGGAGGCATCGAGCAGGAGCCCTTGTCGTCGTGGCTGTGCCTTTGCCAACACGACTGGCTTGCGAGGAGGTCTCGAGCGAGAGCGCCGCTCCCGAACTTCGGGGACCTCTCTAGAGCCAGGGTGCCTCCCGGGTAAACTGCGAGGACGAGTATCGAGCGGGAGCCGTGGTCGTTGCGGCCGGGCCTGCAGGGACCCAAATTTGCACTCGAGCCAACGCTCGCGCGGGAGCTAGTTGTTCAGAGAAAATGTAGCCGGTGTCGAGGCGAGAGCGCGCGGAACCGTTTCCCGATATCAGCAACGATCATATTCTAGAAATGAATATTCGACAACTGCAGCAAGAACAACAGCACCAATTCCAGCACAAACAAGAACAACAACAGCAGCAGCAACACCACCACCACCACCACCAACCAACTAACCAACCAACCACAACCACAACAACAACCACAACCACAACCACAACCACAACAACAACAACAACAACAACAACGACAACAACAAAAACAACAACAACAACAACACCAACAACAACAACAACAACAACAACAACAACAACACCAACAACAACATTAAGAACAACAACAACAACAACACCAACAACAACAACAACAACACCAACAGCATCAGCAGCAGCAGCAGCAACAGCAACAACAACAGCAACAATTACAACAACCACAACAACAACAACAACAACAGCAGCAGCAGCAACACCACCATCAACAACAATCACAACAGCAACAACATCAACAACAACAACAACACCAACAACAACAGCAACAGCAACAGCAACAACGACAACAACGACAACTACAACAACGTCAACAAGAATAACAACAGCAATCAGTTTAAGCCTGTTCGCTCTCACTGGCATGCGTGTCTTACATTCCGTATACCCCAACCCTCGATACCCGCTCACTTCGTCTTCGATTGCACCCCCATTCGGGGAAAATCTCTTCTTTGCCGGCCACTGACAGAAGTGCAAAGAAGTCTCGAGCGAGAGAGCCGTTCCTGCGTTCGGGGGCCTCTCTGGCCAAGGGCTCTGGGAATACTTATGAAGAAATCCGCCGACCCTGTCGGCGTGTGTGAGGGGCTTGTCTGTTTAAGTCGTCATCTCCGTCATTCGTTGGTCGTCGTCTCTGTGGTCCCCTTTCCCTGCCTCCCCCCTTTCCCTGGGCTCGTCGAAGCTCCTCCCTTTCCCATGGACCTCCTCAGCGCGCCAGCCAAAGCAAAGTTGAGCAACGTCGTAATTGAGTCGAAGGGAAGCCCCTTCGATCCCTCCCCCGCTGGGTGGGGTGGAGGGGGGGGGTGTCAGATACGACGCCCCCCCTGGGAGTCCCGGAGCCCCAAAAAGCCCCAAGACGGGCCAAGAGTGCTCCAAGAGGCCCCAAAGACAGTCCAAGAGAACCTCGAATCGCCGAACGATCTGTCCAAGACGCCTTGACGACCTCCAGACGGCCCAAGAGGCCTGCAAAGCGCCCCAAGAGGCCTCCAGGAGCTTTCCCACGAGAGCCCAAAGAGGCACAATTCATGGATTTCCCATACGTGTTTGGAAGATTTTGGCGTTCTTGCCTCTTCCGCTGCCCGACGCGCCAAGACGGCTCAAGAGGCCCCCAAGATCGCCCCCAGACGGCCCAAGAGGCCCCCAAGAGGGCCCCTTGACGGCCGAAGAGGGCCCCAAGACGGCCCAAGACGCCTCCAAGACAGCCCAAGAGGCCCAAACGACGGATCCAGGAGGGTGCCCAGACGGAGGAGCCGAACGGACATTTCGAGCTCTCAGCCCCAAGAGGCCCCCAAGAGGCCCCGAAGAGGCCCCAAGAGGCCCAAAGAGGTCCCCAAGGGGCCCCCAAACTGCCTCAAGGCAGCCCGGGAGAGCCCCAAATTGCCCAGGAGGCCTCCAAGAGTGCCTCGAGACGGCGCAAGAGGAGCCCTGGACGACCCAAGACGGCCTCAAGAGAGCCCCAGGCTGTCCCAAGAAAGCCTCTGGCCTCCTTCTCTTCCTCCTCCTCCTCCTCCTCCTCCTCCTCCTCCTCCCCCCCTCCCTCTGCTCCCCCTCGTCCTGCTCTCCTCTGCTTCCTTCTCCTCCTCTTGCTTCTCCTCCACATCCTTCTCCCCCCTCCTCCTCCCTCATCCACCTTCCTCCACCTCCCACTCATCCTCCTCCCCCTGCCCCCCCCATCGTTTTCATCTGCGTCGTTCTCAGTGTCGGCGGCACCGGCTGTAAGGCCTTCACAATATCGAACCGGAGCTCTTGTCGCCGTGTCCGGGCCTCCGCCAATTTCATTGAATTGCGAGGAACTCGCAAGCGAGAACGCCGTTCCTGAGTGTGGGGGCCTTCTTGGCCAGGGGCTCTCAGAGTAAATCGTGAGGATATATCGAGCAGGAGCCCTTGTCGTCGTGGCTGGGCCTCCGCCATCTTCATTGAATTGCGAGGAAGTCTCGAGCGAGAGCGCCGCTCTAGAGTTCGGGGGCTTCTCTGGCCAGGGTGTCCCCGGGTAAATTGTGAGGAGGTATCGTGCGGGAGCCGTTGTCGTCGTAGCCGGGCCTCCAAGGGCTCACATTTAGGGTCAAGCCAACGCTCGAGCGGGAGCCTCGTTTTCAGAGAAAATGTAGCCGGCGTCGAGGCGAGAGCGCGCGGAACCGTTTCCAGAGATCAGCCAAAAATATTCTTTAGAAATGAGTATTCAAAAACAACAACAACAACAACAACAACAACAACAACAACAACACCAACACCAACAACAACAACAACAACAACAACAACAACAACAACGACAGCAGCAGCCACGACACCAGCAACAACAATAATAGCAGCAACAACAACAACATCATCAACATCATCAACATCAGCAGCAGCATCATCACCAGCATCAGCATCAGCATCAGCCGCAGCAGCATCATCATCAGCATCAGCATCAGCATCAGCATCAACATTAGCATCATCTTACCTGCATCATCATTCTCAGCATCGTCATCATCATCACCACCACTATGAACATCACCTGCATCAACATCATCATCCTCGTCATCATCATCATCATCGTCATCATCATCATCATCATCATCATCAGCAGCATCGTCATCATCATAGTCGTCATCATCGGCAGCAGTATCAACTTCAACATCATCATCTTCAGCATCTACGTCATCTACGACGTCATAATCATCATCATCAGCATCATCAGTATCACCATCAACAGCAACCTCAACATCAACATCAGCATCATCATCAGCATCATCAACATCAGCATCAGCATCAGCATCATCAGCATCAGCATCATCAGCATCTCCATCATCATAACTAGTATAGTCAGCATCAGCATCACCAGCATCAGCATCAGCATCAGCATCAGCATCATCATCAACATCATCGTCAGCATCATCATCATCATCAGCATCATCATCATGTGTTCGCCTCCTCATCCTCCTTTCTCCCACTCTTCTCCCCCTCATCCACACATCCGTCCTCCTTCTTCTCCCGACGTCCTCCTCCTCTCCTCCTGCTCTCCCTGCTCACCCTCATCTTCAGTATCCTCCCTGTGGCCTCCTCCGTATCTCCCTGCGTTTCCGTATCCCCCCCCTCCTACTGCTTGTCCTCCTCCTCGTCCTATTCTCATCAGCAGACCGTTCTCACCCATCATCAATGTACTCCTCATCCTCATGCTCATCCTCATCTTTAGAATCATCGTCGTCCTCGTCGTCATCATATATTAGCACCAGCATCATCAGCAGCATCATTATCATAATCTTAATCACCGTATGCGTGAGCATCATCATCAACATGAACAGCATCATCATCATGATACTCATCATAGCGGCATCGCCATCGTCATCATACTCCGCATCAGCATTACCACGAAGTTCACCAGCCACCACACATCATCAGTATCATCCGCAGCATTGTACTCATCAGCATCATCATGAGC